GCCAACTTGACCACCTCCGCAGACAAAGACTCTATGACTCTATGAAGCCTGAAGACCTAAGGGTCCATGGCCCTAGGCCCTAAGGCCTAAGCCCCAAAGGTCTCTAAAGCCCCAGCCCAAACCCAAAATCCTAAACACAAGCTCGGTCGGCCTCCGATCCATCCTCGAGCTGCTTGCGGTCTACCTCCTCGCCAGGCGTGCGTTCTCCGGGAAAGGGCACAAAAAGGCTTTGCATCCAGAGAATTTATGGCTGAAAGTTCGAAGTACAAGACCTAACAGCTAGGCTTGTCAATGCACCCACAGGTTGCCACGTATCAAAGCTAAGGCCAAGGCGGACCGCAGAGGATCAAGACCAGAAGCCCCAAGTCCACACCCAACGCAGCAGCCAAAAAAACCATCCAGGCCCTAAGCCTTATTTCGACCGTACAAGGTTGTGCAAAATAGTATAGTAAAGTATAGTATAGATAGTATAGACTGTAGACAGTATAGCCGATTATGATATATATATATATATATACTGTCAGACAGCAAGCTCTCAAGCGCCACTAGAATCTGCCCAGGCACGCGGCTCGACCGCATTGGCTTTCCGGAGCTGCTCCGGGGTGCCAGACAAAAGAAGCCCAAGCCTTTCAAAACGGGCACACGAACAATATAGGGGCTTTGTAACAATCAACACAGGGTTCTGCTGTATATATTTTAAGACGCAGGTACTGACAGAGCACCGTGACGGAACGAGACTGGCAAGGAGAGAGATCATGAAGCGAGTGTCAGGACATTGCAGCAGACTGCAGCGCCACACCAAGTCCCTCTGCTTGCAGAAATCATCCCATCTGGCCTATCAAAGCACCACCCACTCGCCGCGGGAGCGCTTGAACGCCTGCTCGGGCATTTCACCAGATGGCTGTGCGATGCAGGCACTGGGTGCGCGCCCTTACATGCAACCAGAAGGACGGCTTCTGGAAGCAACACTCATCAGTGTGTATCTTATAGCTGAACAGGCCGCCAATTTCAAGCTGACCTCGGGCCCGCATGCAAGGTCTCAACACCCTCCACCCAAAACAGCGCCTCCATTGCCAAGATTGCCTTTGTCTCGGCCAGTTTGAGGTGGCGGTCCGAGCGAGCAGGGGCCGATGCCCGCAGGAAACCACGGCCAGGGCAGCATGGCGTTGGTCTCGTAATCGTCCCGTCTGGGTCCGCTCTTGGTAGTTTGGCAAAGGGTAAACCGCTTGAGGATGTTGTGCAAGCAGCAGCAACAGGTTTATCAATTGGCATTGTTAGCAGTGTGTGGCACCAGTGAGAATTTCGAGCCGTCCGTGGATCGGCCAATGTCTGGAATCAGTAGCATGCTCGACTAATTTCCGGGCCCAAACGTGGCTGACAAACGGTGCATCTGCGGGAAGAGCAGCACAGTTCGGCTAACACGCTGTCTTCGGCCGCTGTTTGAAACAGCCTTTCTCCTGCTGCTCCAGGCGCTGTACAGATTCGGTCTCGAGCGTACGCATGTGCATCTGCAGGAAACTTCGAGGGATGCGGAGATGACCACCCAGCAGCTGCCCCATCTCCATGCTTTGCCTTCTTGCATGGCATGATAGCTGCGGTCATCCTTCAAGACTGGTTCGAGGTACGTTCTTGTCGTTGCTCGCATTTGCAGTGCATTGCAGTTCTTATAGGTCACGACCTGACTATTTTTGGCTAAGCGGGTACAGCAGGGTGCTGGGCCAGCGTGCCTTTCGGGGCATATGTTACCTTTGGGCCGATGAAGACCGCGTTGTGCGGAGTAGCCCATCCAACTCCAAGCCTCCGTGAAGTTTTCCACGAGAATCAGAGCTCTCAAAACACTCCAACCATTGGCCTCGAAGAGAGGGATGAAGGTAAGCAGTCGGATTCAGCATCTAAGCAGGAACTTCGATAACTACAAGCTGCTCTTACATGCGATTCCTCCACCTACCTTCATCCCACTTTTGAAAAGCCGTCATGATCCGAGCCAATCCAAAGGCATGCGGCCGAGCCGAGAAGGGAGAGGTAAAGTCGACTCGGGCAAATTCACCCGTCCGTGCACCTTTGGACACACCTGAGGTTTAGGGTTTCAAGTTTAAAGGGCAGTGACTCTTTCCCCGCCTGAGGTTTGGGGTTTAGGGTTTAGGAGGTTTGGCATTCTTATTCTTGTTATGGCGTGGGTAGCTTTGTGTGAAGGGTGTCTGTCGATGTTCCAAAGGTGCCGCAGACTTTAATGTTGGAAACCTCTTCTGCAACGACAATCATGGTTACAGGTATGCTGCAACTACATTTGTACATGTATGTGCTTATATGGTATACCTGTCAGCTCAAGTCAGGAGGTTTCCCGGAAACGCCCAAACAACAGGCAGTGGAGCAGCCAGGTTCGAAAAAAAGGAGCTCCAACCATCGGAGCCTACACACAAGGATTGTGGATTCCGAATCTGGCCCTTCTGGGCGCAAGAAGGCATCAAGCTGACAACTCAGCCGATGTTTGGCACCCAACCTCAAGGGGAGACTCAGATGCTAGTTTGGGGAATAAGAATGGGGCAAGGCTTCGTATTTTCAGGCATCGGGCTCGAAATGGCTCGAACAACAGGCGGATACCTTAAAGTCCTAAGCGTGTCGTCCAAAGCCCTCAGCTCTAAACCCCCAACAAGGACACATCACTGTTACTGTAGATTACCCCAGTTTTGAGAGGAAGCGTGCCAACATGGTTCTGATGTTGTGACAGGTCGGGTTACTCCCTTCCACGGTTGTTGTCGGTTCTTTGGTTTGCATGTGTGCAAACGTTGTAATCACCACATTCATGTTGCAATGCGTTCTTGTATGGCATGCGGTGATGCATACGATGTCCCGCGAGAAAGGGATGAGGTTCAACATCCCAGGATGTGCCGCATGTTGTGCGTGTCCCTTCGAACTGAAGAGTGTTCCATCCAGGCGCATCGCGGGGCACGGAAAACGCAACCATCTACTAACACCAGCACTTGCGTTCTTAGAGTGTCACTTCAGAGATTCTCAATGCTAAATCTGCAGCTCGGCTTGTAAATAGCACATAAGTACTACGAGCATGCGGCTGTACAAACTTGAGAGTCGTCTGTGGTTCAAGGGCCATAAAACAACAGTAACATAAAGGTGTTGCCAAGTTGACGCAAAGAGTCCCGCATCGATGACCTGAGCTTTCGTGGAATTTGTTTCCCAAATTTGTTGTTCCTGGCACGGTTGGTGGCATTCTGTTGCAGAATTGCGGTAAATGACTGCCGCTCTTCTACTTCAGACTCACCGAACTACTCCCCCCTAATATTAAACGGCCCCCCCAACTCCCAATTCAAAAGTCATGCGGGATGTTTTTATCTCTATTTTCCCATTCGAAATAGGTTTTGAAGGGCGCGGGATGATTTCGGGGCGGGATTTACCGGAAAGTGTTTTAGTATTGGGGGGGTGTTTAATAAAAGGAGGCAGGGATAAATGTAGGGGCCTCAATAATTAGAATAGGGCTTTGGGGCCCATTATACTTCTTTAACTTATAATAAGGAACCCCCCCAAATAGTATTGGTAATTATTTAGGCCCCTATATTGGCCCAGACTGACGGGTCCTGATCCCTGCAGGCTCCACTAGCTGCTGGTTTTCGGCAGTCTGCAGTCTGAGCTGAGGCTAGGGCCCCAAGAAAGCACGTAAGCAAAACTTGGGATGGGTATATCCCATATAGACCCCCTTGTAATGAAGCCCAGTAAGGTAGGGATGTCCCTGTAACATGCTTATGCTTATGTCCTTGCTGGGTCCCTAAGCCCTAAGAGGTACCGAATCCCCAAGCTCAAGATTTTTGCCAAGTCAGGCAAGCGACGTCCCGCATGATACGCAGAAACGCAAGGAAGTTCACCTCAAGGATTGGCGCTGGAACTAGCACAAGGTTCGGACTGGCGAGAACGGAGCCCTGGGCATCTAAAAGGTCAAAAATACAAACTATCACCACTATACCAGCGATCCGCTGCATAGTGGCTTCAAAATTTAAGCACTACAGTATTCTGGCAGGTAGTTGGGAAACCACTTCTGCACTTTCATAAGTCCGATGCGACCCACAGGACTCTAGAGCTCTGCGAAGGCGAGAGCCGAGACTAGAGACGCCGACGATGTCCGCAACTTCTCTGTTAAACTATGCGGTGCTTTCAAGACATGAAGTGGATTCTTCAGGCTCCGTGCATCTGTAGTTTAGTTCCTCTGTCCAGGCTTGAAGAGCCTTGCCGATAAGCCGCCTCTGCCTCAACACAGCACAGCCACTGCCTCTTGAGAACCGAAGTGTGACTCTTATGGGGGTTTCCGAAAATAGGGGACCCCAATGTAGTACCCCAAATAGTAGGATCCTTACTATAAGGACCCCAAAATAAGGTACCCCTAATTTTCTGAAACTCCCTTATCCTGCTACATAAGCCCCTAAGTCCGCCTCAATCCGAAGCCCTGCAGGCACAGCCAATCCCATAGCCTGCCTTGTCAAGACCGGTGGTTAGGTCGCTTGAATTCTCCACGGCGGAGCCTCTGCAGTCGGGAGCACAAGCTTTAGAGTTTAGGGTCTCAGTAAGAAGTTCGTCGGATCTAGGAGTATGGGCGTTTAACTAGTTCTCTACATACGCACACCAGACATGAATGAACATGGTTTGTGCATGTACATGTTCAAGAAAGTCTCGATGTGTATGTAGATGCACGCTGCATGCTAGTCAGAAAAACATGTGCCCCTTCACATGTGTGTTTGCATGTCTACATCTCCAAGGGAAAAAACTTCGGGAACTTGGCTAGAAGTGGCGGTGGGACAACAACGATGTCGAAGTTCTGGGGATTTCTGGAGTTTCTAGTGTGTTGATATCTCAACATCCACTGCTACACTGCAAATGCCTCAGAGTCTTACTTACCCAGATGCAGCACTCTAAATGATAGCTCCAACATGCTCCAACACCGACGAAGCAGGAGCTACGGCACCCGAAGACGAACAAAGGCTGCATGCCTCAAATATCTAAACAGTCTCTGGAAGGCTTCCCGATGCCCCTGCAGAATACGGCTTATTCCAGGGATTCCAAGCTGCTTTGCTTACCACGCCAACGCCTGAACCGTCAAGAGCCCCAAAACCCCAGAAACCATAGCTGTCAACTGCAGCCAAAGAGCGGCAGAAACCTAGAAGTTTCGTCGATTGCTCCGCATCCAGGACACAACAACGTGCAATCATGGACTTGACGTCAGCGAAGGAAAGCCTTAGAGACGGCTTGATGAAGGGATTTGTAGGGTCTCCATAGGGTTGGATTACGGGTTGTTTTGGGGCGTTGTGGCGCTCTACAGGGTTTTATGAAGGGTTTGCAGAGTTGTATTAGGTATTGCGGAGCTGTTTAGAAGGCTCCCCTTGCCCTTCAAAAGAGCACTGAACTTGTGATGGGATTTGGGGATTGAGGTGGAACTTCAGACTTACTTATTACTTGCAACATGGTAGAAAGCGAAACGTTACGATGTCGGAGCAGAGTTGCGCAGCGCTCTGTCTTACAAGTACCAGCACGAGACGAGCTGAAGTCTGATGCACGGGTCCAGCAATCTCACGGGCTAGTTAGCATCGAAGGGTGGTCATACACTGAAGAATATGCCAGTTTTGCCGTAATTCGTGCCAAGCCTGGGAGAACGTGCACAGCCAATAATTTGTAGTAGTGCCACGGCACACCAGCATGGTGCACACACAAGTAGGATGCTTAACGACGATATGCCGCTACTGAGCGGCCATAGCACAGGACATGTAGGGAGACGGTTCATGAGTATAATAGGCAGTTCTCGACTGCAACAGCATGATGACTAAATGTGAACATACCGTGCGACAGCACACATTGAAGCAGAGAGCATGTAGTGGAACATTCCACCAACCGGCAATATCACGTTGTAGTGATGCTGCATAGCCGTGTAACAGGAACTTTCTACAATTGTAGACCGGTATAGGCAAATGAATGTCTAGCACTGCAATAACATACCTGGACAATCTCGCAGTATACCAAGAAGAACACATCTGGCCTCACACAATGCGAAACATTGCAAAATCAAGCGTGCATGTAGTCAGAAACGCAAGACTGATATCAGCAATCACCGCATTCAGTACCAGTTTCCCAAAGTCCCTAAGCCAAGCCGAGCGAAACCACAATGCTATGGAAACCTTAGGCACTGCAGCCGTCAACCCCTACACCACATGCTGTGCTGGCCTAGCTGCATGCACGTGCCGCTCTGGTCTGCTTGAAGAAAGAGGCCACGGAATTCTGCTGCCTCCTGAGAAACGTGCAACGGGCTCGAGCGCTCCTCTCTCTGCCGCGGATGATCGCTCGGTGACCTTTATCATATAGAAGACATAATATATAGTAACTGAGTTAAATGTTGCATAACTGACGATATCCATAGGATATAAATAAATAAATAATTAAAAATATATTCCATATATATATATATACACATAGATAGATGTATAGATGATTGTGGATTCATGAGATGAAAAGCACTGCTGGCTCCGCGCCTTGGTCGTGAAGCGAAGATCGTCTAAGCTCTTGTTGAAGGACTCGTAGTTCTGCTCCTCCATGTGGTCGCTGATCTTCCGGATCATGCCTAAGGAGCTAAGGCCCAGTCACTTGCCTGTAGGACGGCTGTGCTTCACGCCGTGGCCACGGCCAAGACTCAGACAACAAGCGGAGATAGGATTTGGGTCCCCTCGCCCGAGAACAGCTCTCAGGTGCGGCACAGGCACGCACGAACTCGGGGAAGTCAAGACAGTCGTTCTTGTCTGCCTCGGGAATCAGAACATATCAGAACTCCCGAATGGAAAATGGCATTCAAGTTGTGACGAGAAGGCTGGCATCGTGTCTAGCACAGTAGGTGGTAAAAGCAGTCAGTGCTTCCACGTACACCTTACCAACACTTGCGACACAAGTGACACTCTACCCGCACAGGCGATTGGATAGTTCACTCCAAGCAACGTCTGCATAACCCAGAAGCTGTATGAAGTATGGCCGGAACTCACGCTGATTGGAATGCCTGCAAATGGAGGCTGATACAGCATTACTATACTGAGAAAGCGACAAGTGCATGTGATTCAGCGTTCAGGGGATGGATTGGCTAAAACCGATCCGTACTCTGTTGGCAGTGCTCATGGGCGGGGTATGAGAAGTCTCAGTGGTGCACTAGCAACAGCAACCATTAGCCGTAACAAGAAACGGAGTAGTGGAAGTACTGGCAGTACTGGTAGCAGGCATCGAGGCGTGTTAAGCAGCGGCAGCAGCAGCAGCAGCAGCAGCAGCAGCAGCACTTGTTGCTGCCGTGTGTACGGCATTTATTTCTACGGGGTGTGAGACGCAGACATTCAAGACCGTTTCAGGACCTCCGACTTTGCCAGGCAAGAACAACAAGCAAGCATCGAGTTGTCAAGCTCGAAGTGGGTGAAAGCAGGCTTTGGCCGACCCCGAAGGTCCCTGAGCAGACGTCGGCGTGCATGTGCTCTGAAGCTGCTACTGTAAGGCAGAGGTGACGAAAGTATATAAAGATGTATGCGCCTCGGGAACAGCTCTTCAATGAGCTGGACCAATTCAGATTTTCGCCTTGGCGCAGGGTGCTCAAACAGGTCGGCAGGGAACATTGTACAACACTCCTTCCATCTTCTTGGAAAGAAAGCTAAGCATGGAGACGCTGCGAGCTTCTAAGCCCAGGACTGCCTATTTTTGATGCTGATAACAAGCTGAATTCATAAAGTCTCACCTCAGATCCCTCCGATCCAAGTGTGAAGCCGAGCAGCAGCACGCCGTTCCCGTCCTTGTCGAAGCGCTGGAAGTGCGTGCGAAGTGCAGCGAGCTCCAGTTCAGAGTAGCCAGCCTTGCCACTGGACTTTGGCTCCGACTTGAACTCCCCAAGTCCATCACAGCTGCGGCTACGGCTTAATTGCAGTCTTAGTAGGAGATGCATCAACACCGCATCCTGCGTGTCAATACGTCGGGCTACATACCTGGCATCCTCCGTAGACTGGCAGGAAATACTACTCTGCTATATCAGAGACAGTCCAAGGCATGTGCACAGCCACATCCACTCGAAACCACCACCCCCTATCAGAGCAGTAGGCCCCCAGACTATCCATGAGAAGTCGGCATCAGCCGGCTACAAGTAAAGGGCTAGTCACATTGATCCGCAGCTCGCGAAGTCGTGAGGCGCTGAATTTGTACCTCCTGTGCAGGGGCTCAACAGAACAGAAGGTAAGTAGAGACCATGAGAGATGCCGCTACAGCGTAGAGGGCATCAAACCCTCCCAAGAGCCGCTTCGAATGCCTGCATCTGCGATCTGCCTACTGGTAGCTTTTCTCTTTGCACGTCGCAAGCCACTTTGGACAACAGATTTGCAGAGCGGAAGTTGAAAGTCGTAGACTGGGTAACTAGGTCGCGCTTGGATCCACATTGCAGATGCGGCTTATCGAAGGCAAGGTGCTGGACGATGTTCAGAAACCTTGCGAAACAGGTACAGGCTTGCCCGACCCGTCAGTCTTCGAGACTTGTGAGTAGGTCTGGAAGCCTAGAACAAGCTCGGGAGAGGGGTCCAATGAAAAGGAATCACTTTTCAACTTTACTGCCGTGGTCCGTGGGTCACCGGCCAACCCCCAAGCGACCAACCCTTACCCTTTGCAGCCATCAGGCGTGGACAAGTCGGCGGAAGAGCACTCTGCCAGCGACCGTGGAGGCGGGTTGCCCGCTGCATCGAGACATCCGAGACCTGTTCATGAGGTTGAGGGAATTAGTCATTCGAGTGTTGGACGGTGTTGCCCCGCTGTTTGGAGAACTAGTTGGTCAGAAACAGCCGCGACATACCACCTCACGCACAAATCTGCTATGACAGCATGCTAACAAGACTCAACTTGATCGTCTAGAAAACTTCCACCCGATGCTCGCCCTGATCGTGAACACGGCACCCTGAGTTTGAAGACTACACTCACTACAACGGGTTGGGTTCTGCCTTCAAAACATGGAAGGACATTACTTTGGCAAATACCTTGCTACAAGCAAAGAACTTGCCACAGCATGCCACCCACAAACAAAAAAACCTAAACCCCAAAGTCCTAAAATGCTGCTACGAAGAATTCTGAACAACCTTGCGGCGCTCCCGCCAAAACCCGACTCGATGTCAGAAGATCTCCACAACGACACAGAAAAAGGCCTTACTTTCTTCATAATTCGAACAGCCTTTGGAGGGGTTTGTCGTAAAATTGAACTTTGCAGGCATAGGCACTGTAGGATTAAATATTCATACTCATTCAGACTCTCATATTCAATGCGCTGCAACTTCCAAAGCTCCAAGACCCTGTAAGGCGCCAAGACACTCTGGAAAGCCTGACACTGCTTCCCGTCGTCCAGGAAGCCCAAGCCTAAAGCATCGAGCCTTCGGCGCAGTTTCAGTTTTTTGAGTTTGTTTTTTTTTTTAACTGGGTTTGAACAGTTCAGGCATTTCAGGTTTCGGCCGGGGTCAGGACGAACTGCAAAGCCTCTCGCTTCACCGGAAAAGATACAGCCTGAAGCAGCATATAATATGTTAAGGACATAGAGGCAGGATGCTCTATCCGAGCCAGAGCACCGTGATGTGTCTGACAACTTAGAAAGGAACCCCATAGTAACCCTCTTAGAATAGCCTCTCTAACACTCAGCCGTTGTTTCGGCTGTTGTCGCAGCAGGGGCATAGCGAAAGTCTTACCACAAGGGGCAGTACTCATCCGAAGAGTAACCCAGAGTGCGGTCAGTATACTGACTGGAGAAGACATGAACGCAGCCCACGTAGAAAGGTACGTGCCGAGATGCGTTCACACCTTGTTGGGTAGAGGGGTATAACTCGAGTACTCTCTTGATTAAAGTGACTTAACTCATTCAGACCCTACTGAAACGGACTGCACAATTCCTGGCGCGATCAACTGAACATGAAAAACACAAATATCTCTGCAAGTGTAGGTGCATCATTGCATCGAACCTACATGATTTTGTACACACGCACACAGATAGATAGATAGATAGATA